CAGTTTGAGGATGTTGCCCCTTTTTACGGGGGAGTGGCTGATGTTGAGGGTACGTCCACTTCGCATGTTCGTAATTTTGGCGAAGGGACAAGCTCAACAGTTAGAGAATGCGATAATGAGGGTGATGATGATTTCGTTCGCGGTGAAGACGATTTCACAGATGATACCTCGGAAACAGATAGATCAATAGACGAGGAGAGTGAACCAGAATTTATTGAAGAACACCCATTTCCTAGTACCGGTCAGCACGTGTATCGCGAGATGGGTGAGTGGGACCCATCGTGTGTAGACCGTGATGAGTATGCCTTGCCAGTGTGGGATGGGCATGTCGATACTATCCGTTTGGGTACTGTTTTCCGGTCCAAGAAAGATGCACAGATGGGTATCATGAGTTGGAACGTTAGTAGGTTGAGGGAGGTTAAGACAACATATTCGAATAAGAAAACATTCAAGGTGGTGTGCACATCTAACGAAGATGAACCTTGTCCGTGGATGGCTCGGGTGACGCACTGTACATGGGTTCATGAAATGTGGGAAGTAAGAGAATGGACTGAGAGGCACAGTTGTATGCAAGAAGTCGAAAAAAATGACCACAGAAATGTAACCGCCACAATGATTTCACATCTTGTCATGACCAAGATTCAAAAAAAACCCGACTACAGTGTTACCCTGATCCAGGAGGATGTTAAAAAATGTTGGAAAGTCGATGTGAGCTACAAGAAGGCATGGCACGGGAGGAAAAAGGCCATCGATCGTTTGTATGGCACTTGGGAATCGAACTTCGTTCAACTCCCTCAGTACGAAAAACGCTTATTAAAAATGTACGTGTTATTTGTCACTATGTTTATGTATTGACGATTACGTTTTGTAACGTGCAGGTTTTTTGCGGCGCTTCAAAGTGCGAATCCCACTACGGTTGTGGAGTAGGAATGGCAAGGTGGGGAAATGGCGGCCCACTATCAGCACAGAGAATTCAAATTTGTTTTCTGGGCGTTTGGTCCCGCCATTCAGACCTTTCAGAGATGCCCGCCGGTAATTAGTATGGACGGCACACATTTGCGTGGCTCGTACAAGGGGAAGTTGCTCGTGGCCGTTGCACAGACTGCGAATAAGCGGCTATTGCCAATTGTCTATGCGATTGTCGATGAAGAGAGCCAGGAAAGCTGGTCATTTTTCCTGACAAATCTCCGGCAACATGTTGTCGGCGACAGACAGATATGCTTTCTTTCGGACAGGGATTCGGGCTTACAGAGTGCCGTGGAATCATTGGAAGCTTGGCAAGAACCCGCTGCATATCACCGGATTTGTCTTCGACACCTTCGGAGCAACGTGGTTACTAGGTACAGGAATAACAAAATCCGAAATTGGTGTTGGGAGTTGGGTTCACAGGTTTCAGAGAAAAAATTTGAACAGATACGATCGCGGCTTTTGGATTTTAATCCGGACGCATACGAGTACCTGTTCAGAATTCCTCTAGACAAGTGGACCTTGTTTGGAGACGGAGGACGTAGATGGGGTACTTTGACTACCAACATGTCGGAGAGTTACAACAACGTCCTGAAAGGTGTTAGGTTCTTGCCCTGCCGAGCTTTGGTACATGCCACATTCACGAAAACTCTGTACTTGTTTGAGCAGGAACAAAAGAAGTCCACGAGATGCAGTAATGCCATTGCTAGTGCCCACTATGCCGCTTATTGCGAATTGGAGACTACGGCCGCAACTCATGAGGTGCGATGTTCCAACGCGGAGAGATCCCTGTACAAGGTGACAACCGGTCTACGGGCTGATGGTAGAGGGGACAAAAAGTAAGTATACGGTTTATTTATTTATTGTATAATTTTTTTTTTATTTTGGTTCATTCAAATTTTTAGTTGTTTATAAATATAATTAAATGTGGAAAAACAGGTATAAGGTTTCGTACAACCGGATGCGTTGTAGTTGTCAGAAGTGGCAGACACACAGGAAACCATGCTCTCATGCTATAGCTGTGTGTCGTCAAATAAAAGGTCAACCAAGAACCTTGTACGATCCCCACTTTTGGACGGAGAATTGGGTGGCTCAATTTTCTAATTGGAGTTTTGCTCCGATTGGTGATCCGGACACATGGCCGATGGTCGGATGGACCTTACTACCACATTGGGAGAGGATTATCACGAAGGCTGGACCCGGTCGCGCGCAAACGAAGCGTCATCGCATGCAAATGGATCGTCGGGCACGTCGCCGGGCTGATAGAGGACAGTGTAGTAGATGTGGTAATCCACAGCATTTTGTGGATGACTGTCCGTCCTCGCATCCTCGCACTGATAGATCTAGAGTTCGTGATGAGTGGGATAACTAGATTTGTTAGTGTTTA